GGACTTGCTTTTAAACTTTCTTATAGCTATATAATCCAAGAATAAAAATGGAGACAGTATAGTTTAATTGGCAAAGAGATTACACGTTTAATTCCTACTCCCCACCAACTTCACATCTTTTCTTCCCTTTGAGGGTGTATTCAGGAATTTATTCAATATTTAAGAGCATGAAATGTGCCAGAAACTATTCTAAATAGTGAAGATTCAGTAGTCAACAAAATAGAAACAGTGAGGAGAGAGATACAGGCAAACAAAAACATATAAAACAGGAGAAGTGATAAGTGCTATCAAGAGAACCAAGTGCAGGACTCTGATAAATTGACTAAGTACGCCTTCAAAGAAGTTGATACTTAAGCAGAGATCGGGGGGGTGGGGACGGGTAACAAAACCAAGGGAGCAACTCATGAAAAATCTTAGGGAAATGAATTTTTTAAAAAAGAGAAAAGAAGTAAAAACCCTGAGGTGGAAGGAGGCGTGCACAATTTATGCAGTGGCAGAATGAATAAGGAAAATGAAGGAAGATTTGGAGATGCAGCAGCAGTGCAGTGCCAGAATATGAGACTTTGGAAATTACTCTGAGTAAAGTCACTAGAGGATTTTTAATAATAAGGTGATAATGACTTAACTTACACTTCAGAAGGATCACTCTGGCTGCTATGTGAAGACACTTTGGGGCAAGAGTGTAAACAGGAATACCAGTTAGAAGGCTACTGAGAACCGACTGCAGCAGGGACTTAAATGAGTGTAGCAGCCATAGAGAGAAGAGGTAGGATTCTGAAAATGCCACCTCTGTGCATGTAAAGAGGATGTAAATGGGGATTATAGAGAAGAGCATAAAATGATATGCTAAGATGATTAAGAGAAGCATTGGCAATGAGAATAAGATATAGTCAAAGTTACATAAATAAAGCACACACAGAGTAGGGGAGGGGTTTAACATAAAAGGGATATGACACAAGCAAGTAAAACTAGAGTATGTACCTACAATAGCATTAAATACTAAGTTGGAAGGCCAAGCATCTTTACTCTAAGACCCAGTATACACACAATCCAGTAGATGTATTTAAATATGCACCTGTACTATATGGAATGTTATCTAGCATTTTCTATACCATTAAAGTTCATTATCAAGTTAATTTCACAACCTACATGGGGCCATAACAACCTGTGGTCTTAAAAGCACTGTTCTAAGATAACAGATCAAAGAGAGAATTCTAAATGTTCAGAAAGAAGCAGTGGTAGCTGGGTGTGATTGTTCACACCTGTAATCCTGGCACTTTGTGAGGCCAAGGCTGGTGATCACTTCAGGAGTTTGAGAACAACCTGGGCAACATGGGGAAACCTAAAAAAAAAAAAAAAAAAAAAAAAAAAAAAAAACCCTTGTTGGATATGGTGACATGCGTGTATGGTCCCAGCTACTTTGGAGGCTTAGGTAGGAGGACCACTTGAGCCTGGCAAGTGGAGACTGTGGTGGGTTGTGATTGTGCCGCTGCACTCTAGCCTGGGTGACAAACCAAGACTCTGTCTCAAAAAACAAACAAACAAGCAATGATAGGAGTTCTCAATAAGAAAGTTTCTGCTGGGCAAGTGGCTCACACCTGTAATCCCAGCACTTTGAGAGGCAGGCAGATCATGAGGTCAGTAGTTTGAGACTAGCCTGACCAGCATAGTGAAACCCCGTCTCTACTAAAAATACAAAAATTAGCCAGCCTTGGTGGCATGCACCTATAGCTGCTTGGGAGGCTGAGGCAGGAGAATTGCTTGAATCCGGGAGGCGGAGGTTTCAGTGAGCCGAGATGGCGCCACTGCACTACGGCCTAAATGACAGAGCGAGAGTCCATCTCAAAAAAAAAAAAGAAGAGAATTTCTTGAAATAAAGAAAAGGAAAAAGAAAATGAGTTCTAATGAATTAGCAACAGTTTAAGAACAAGAGAAGTAAGTTATCTTAATACTTTTTTAATAGGTCTCAACTTAGCAACCACTTCCATTTTATACATATAAGAGATTGATCAAGTATATTGTTACACTTAAAAAATTATTACTAGTGGCAATAATAAATGTTACAAGGCCAGGTGCAGTGGCTCACACTTGTAATCCCAAAACTTTGGGAGGCCAAGGCGGGCGGATCATGAGGTCAAGAGATCGAGACCATCCTGGTCAGCATGGTGAAACCCTGTCTCTACTAAAAATACAGAAATTAGCTGAGCATGGTGGCGTGCGCCTGTAGTCCCAGCTACTGGGGAGGCTGAGGCACGAGAATTGCTTGAACCCAGGAGGCGGAGGCTGCAGTGAGCTAAGATCCCGCCACTGCACTCCAGCCTGACGCCTGGCAACAGAGCGAGACTCTGTCTCAAAATAAATAAATAAATAAATAAATGTTACAAAAATAATTATAAATGTTAAAAAAATTTATTTTACTATGTATTATATATTAACATATTTTATATAATCAATTAAATACATAAAAAATCTTATTTCTCCCACATTTAATAAATTATAAAATAATGAATATACATACTAACAGGAGAGAAAATCAAGAGTAGTAATTTCTAAAACTTTAGATTCCAACTGAGTATTCAGATATTAGTATACAGTCTAGAAAACTGGTATCTGGACCTTTTTTTTGGTGGAGGAGACAGGTTCTCACTCATCCCAGGCTGGAATACAGTGACATGATCACGGCTCACTGTTGCCTCAACCTCCCAGGCTCAAGTGATCCTCCTACCTCAATATTCCGGTAGCTGGGACTACGTGTGTGCCACCCATGCCCGGCTAATTTTTGCAGTGTTTGTAGAGACAGGGTTTTTCTACGTTGCCCAGGCTGGTTTAGAACTCCAGGGCTCAAGCAATGCTCCCACCTCAGCCTCCCAAAGTGCTGGGATTACAGGTGTGAGCCACCATATAAGACCTTATCTTTTTTTTTTTTTTTTTTTTTTGAGACAGAGTTCACTGTTGTTGCTAGGCTGGAGAGCAATGGCGTGCTCTCAGCTCACTGCANCTGTTGTTGCTAGGCTGGAGAGCAATGGCGTGCTCTCAGCTCACTGCAACCTCCGGCTCCTGGGTTCAAGTTATTCTCCTGCCTCAGACTCCTGAGTAGCTGGGATTATGCCTGGCTAATTTTTTGTATTTTTAGTTTCACCATGTTAGCCAGGCTGGTCTCAAATTCCTGACCTCAGGTAATCTACCGCCTCGGCCTCCCAGAGTGCTGGGATTATAGGCATGAGCTATTGCACCCAGCCCCAGGTCGTACCTTAATGGATTTAAGGCTGTAACCTGAGTTTATACGTACAAGGAATTATCTTTTCCTTTTCTTGCTGTACCATGAAATTCATTTGTGAAGATAAATAGAAATTTTTTTCTAATCAGTGAAAATATTCTTACTGGGGCTTTGCTATAATCCTTACACAAAATTCTATATAAAATAAAATCCTAATTGCATTCTTCCCAAAGATGTACAATTACTAGAGACCAAGAAAAACTGCTTCTTATAATACGAATTCACCTATAAGATATAAACTACAAGGATAATATTAAAAAGAACTTACATTTTAATCATTTTTCTTGCTACCCAAAGTCTTGGCCTAAATAGCTGAATCAAGTTGAACTTTAGTGATCTCAATTATGACAGTGACTCACCATTTTATTACCAACAGGTACAGACCTGTGTTTACTTCTACAATAATAAGCAAATACCAAATATTGTACTTATAAAATCAGAATACCATTCTGATTATTTATTTAAAAAATGTATGTTTCAGTATGCCTAGTTACATATGTAAATTTTAATTCTACTTTGATTTTACCATAATGAAAGTTGGTTCTCCTATTATGAACATTTGACAATAAAGATGCAAAACATTAAAGAATTTTCTCTATCAGCACAACAGAAATGACAAAAAAAAAACAAAAAAAAACCCCT